GCCGTGCGCCCCGGACCGAGCGCCCCCGGCGTGGCCGCGGGCCCGAGCGGTTGGTTAATAATTTAATCCCTCACATCGGGCGGTTGGGCCCCAGTCGTCGCCTCTGGCCCCGCCCCACCTTGGAGCTTCCCAGCCAGGGCTACAAAACTGCCCCTGGTCTCGGGTGCGTCCCCACGAGCTGTCTTGCTAGCTGGGGACCCGGGACGCTGCCGGTGAGTGCCTGAGCCCTGAGCGCTGGGCGGGAAGCCGGGAGCCGGGCTGGCTTCCCAGGAGAGGACTGAACTAGGAGAAAGAGAGTGTGTGTGTGTAAAAGAGAGAGGGAGAGGCCTGAACTCGGAGTGCGTGTATATGTGTAAAAGAAGAGAGAGACCGACTGGGGGAGGGGTGCTCGCTGCTAACTCAAACCAGGTTCCTTGTGTTTGCCTGATGAGATACAGCTGCCCAGGGCTTTGGACGTTTTCTTTTTCTCTCTGGGAGAATGGAGGGGAAATGCAATGCTGCTGCTTTTCTTGTTTTGGAACTTCTCCCTCCTCCACCACCCCCACCCCTTGCAATCTGACCGGCTCCCACGGCCCTTGACTGCGTCCCCGGTGCCCATTCTTTGCCCAGGTTGCGGAGCGGTTGAATGGGGACAGGGTCTCTGGAGGGGTTGAGGTGCTAGAGGACCCATCTCTTATACGCCCGCAGCCATCTGGACCACAGAAAGGTTTCCCCACCGGCGACCTGCGGGTAAACAATGAGGGCCAGTTGCAGGAGGGCCTCCCGCAATGAAACTTCTTTGCACGTCTGGTCTGGGTTTCTAATAACTCCCGCCTGCCCCCGCCCGCTTGCCGGGGGCTCGGGTGGAGGCGGGGACCACCGATGGAATGGACTGAATTTTAAGAGAACAAAGAGCGGGGCACAAAGGAAGGGGGAGCAGAGCTGTGGATTTCCCCAGAAATGAGGAGTTTACTGGACCAGGGCCAGGCCCAGCTGGGCCTCTAGGCAGCCCCAGGGCTGCAAAGCAAGAATGGGGCATCCTCCCAAGCTTGTGAGGCTTCATTCGCAGGGCAGCTGGGCCCCTTGTGAGTGTGGGGGTGCCACCAGGTTCTCCCTCTTATCAGCTGCCCGGTGAGCTGCGCACGTGACTGACCAGTTGAGATAGTTTGTCTCCTCCAAACTTGGACTCTGGCCCGCCCGTCCTTGGGGGACAGCTGCTCTTTCCCATGAAGGTGGCAGGCTCAACCTTGGGAGATGCCCGACTGGGCTCTCCTGCTCTTCCCAGGGATCCTGCAGCGACTGGGGGGAGGCCACTGGGAGGCAGTGAGGCTGTTCCCATGAGGTGGTGGTTTGGGGGCGAGTGTCAGCTCCTTTACTTTGTACCTCCCTGAGTTCACAGGGCCCCTGCTTCTTGCTGACCAGCCACTCACACTGTGCTCCACAGCTCAGGCCTCCACTCGGCACTTCTGTGTTCTGGGGTTTCCCCTCCTATCTCTTGACCTCTCTCCTTTTTTCTCCTCCGTTCTCTTTTACACGCGCCCACCTACCAGTATTCATCCCAATATCGTATGCGTGTGCTCACTCTACTTCTGACCCGCCACTTCTTGGAACCCCGACAGTCCAGGCCCATAGGATCAGACACCAGGGAGCCCCAAGCAAACCAGGGTCTCATCTACCAAGCAGGGGGCAAATGCCGCACTGGGAGAGGGCCTAGGACACTTCTTTATAAGTCAGGAGCTTCCCCAGAAGGGCCTCAGGTTGGCTGTGGTTCCAGGAAGCCAACTCCCTGCACCTTTGAAGCGGCTGATTGATTTCTTTGGCCGGGACAGCCTGTGCCCAGGTGTGCTGGGAAATGTGTTTTGATGCCGGCCCTGATATCCTTCCCCTCTCTCTCTTCTCTGGTTTGAACTGGGTTGGGGTGGAGGGAGTAGAGGCCCAAGTAGGCCCAGATTGGTGCTGGGCAGCGACTCGAGCCCTCTTTGGCCGAACATTCCGCAGCCTCTGCGGAGCTTGTCCCTGTGTGGGGAGGGAGGAGTCTGTCCCTTGGAGGAAAGGGATCTGGGTTTGATGCCAGAGATAAGACTTGGAGAAAGAAGCAAAGGGCTTGAGCAATCTCACTGTAGAAGTTGAGAGCTGACCCGCAGAGATCTTGTGACTTAGGTTGGAAATTTTCCTCGACCTTGGGAAAGGGAACCAAATTCTGAAGCCTGAGGGAACTTCATAGGGTTATCTGGCAGAGTGTGCTGAAGGCCACCTCTAGCCAGTGTTTCCGGGGTGCCTGTGCCCTCCCTCTCTGGGCCTGGAACTGGCCGGTGACGCAGGGAGGAACCAGCCTGTGTAATCGGACATCGCCCTTCTTTGCTTGCAGCCGGCTGGGAAGGAAGTTCAGCCATTAGATTCCCACATTCCCCCTCACTGTGCCCCTGAAGCTCAGCCTGGAATAGGCCTCCTTGAGGAGCCTTGGGCTTCCTTTCAGCCAGCATACATCAGAGGCTCCCCAGGCACTGCCAGCTTGCAGCTCTGGGCTCTGTGCCAGGCTGGCAGCACTGGTATCCCAAGCCCTCCTTTGCCAGGAACAGGGCTGCTAGTGGTCTCCACTCAGCCTCCCAACCTGAGGAAGGAGCTCCCTTTTGGGGCTAGGCGAGGCCTGCTTGTCCCCCCCAGACTTGGGATGTTCCTGAATGAAGCCCACACTTCTTACCCAGCCTATCAGAAACAGCTTAGGACACCCGGATTTTACCCTCTTTCTGTCATCCCAGGGCTGCGGGCATCTGAAAAGCAACAATGCCAGAGCAGGAACAATCTCTCGGTGTGCACTCAGGGCCTGCAAGTCGTCTGTCCTGCCCGTTGGCGTGGCAGATGGGGTCAGCCAGGCCACGGAGCCCCTGGGTTCTCCTTATACCTGTGCCCCCTTAGGCCCTGGTAGCCAGGATGGATGTGTTCTTGCAGTAACTGAACGTGGCCTGGATCTCCCCAAATGGGGCAGTGAAGCCAGGCTCTGCATTTCAGCTTCTGTTCTCAGCCCCTCCTTCCTCTCTACCCTGAAAGCCTCCATCCTCGGGTTCCCACTCAGTACAGACCCTCTATGTCCCTTAGAATGTTGCCCCTGGCCCTGAAGCATCAGAACCCCCCCCAGGGTTTAAGGCTCAATCAAACAGTAAGGAGAGAGCTGGTGAGAGCACAAAAGGAGCCTTCTAAGGAGGCCAGCAGCATAATTCACGGGACACCGCTAATGAGAATCTGGTTACAGTCCTTCGGACTATGTGATGTTTTATTGGGGGTTGAGTGTATTGAGCTTTTGTGCATTAGTTTTTGCTGGTAGCACCCAGGATACGCCAAATTCCTGAGGTACTTCTAACCCTTATCCTGAGGAGGAATGGAAGGAGTTGTTCTTTTCCCACCTCTACCCACAGCCATGCGGGAGAAAGATGTGGCAGTCTGCTTCCATAAAGATTTACAGCCTTGTTGACCCTCTGGGGCAGTGCTACTCGATCCTGTAGGGCTGCTATGAGTTGGAATCGACTCGACGACAAAGGGTTACCCTCCTCCATCCTTATCAAACTGAAATCAGAAAGAGCTCAAGTCCCATCTGAGAGAATCCAGGCTCCTCCAGCCTGTACCATTAAAGGTTTAAAAGAAGGGAGGAGGGTTCTGGAAGTCAGGTCAGAAAGTAAACCAATGACCCCACTGCTGATAGAATCTGCAGAGGGAGGGCAGAATCAATACCTGGGTTTCAGCAACTTGGAGGAGCCCCCACCCCAAAACAGTTAATCCTAGGGACCCCCAGGATTTTGAAAGAGTTCAACCCATGCCTCACCCTGGAGCCCGTCAGATTAGGTGTCCTCAGATGACACTGCGGTGTCTCCCAGGCTAATAACGTGTCCTGTTTGAATTTAGGAGAGTGATGGTGGCCAGGGATCACTGGGGCTGCTGGTATAGATCTAGTGCGTGTAGTGAGAGATAGAGCATGTTACTGCAGCCCTTTCACAGCAAACACTTGTCAGGGCTTACCCTGTGCCCAGGGCTGTGCTGAGCACCTTACGTAATTCACTTATTTCATCCTCACAATAGACTAAAAACAAAAAAAGCCAGTTGCCATTGAACCAATCCCAACTCATGGCAACCCCATGTGTGTCAGAGTAAAACTGTCCT